TGTATCTGTTCCTCTCAAACACAGCCGGTCGAAGCAAATGGTTGCTTGTCCTGAGGCTGATTCTTTATGCTATAGTGCTTAGTGTATATTTAGTTGATGTTTTTCTTAGTTCATATCTTAGATGTTATCATTGTTTTTCTTTTACATTTTATTGTTGGATGTAACTGGGACCCTGTGTACATAATTTCGCTCCACCACATGTACCACATGAGGTGCGAATGACAATAATCTCTGACTCTGGTTCTGCTGGAGGTTTCTTCCTCATGAGGGAGTTTTTCCTTTCCACTGTTGCCTTCGTGCTTGCTCAAGTTCTGCGATGAAGTTAAATTCAAAGCAGTCTGCTCCTCAGATAATTAATGTTATTAACTTTCTTTTTATGTATATGAATGTTTCTGTTCAGTGCCCTGAGATGACTTCAGTTATGACTTGGCACTGTATAAATAAACTGAATTGAATTGAATTATTTGTTAACAGAATTTCTCGTGAACATCTGACTGGTTTTAAAAACATTAATCAGTAGATGAATATGCCATTCATTAACCTTTGGAGTCAGCCTGATTCTAAATAGCCACTATGCTGATCAACGTTAGAGAAAACAAAACAGGTATAACTCTGACAACTTTAATAATTTAGAATAAAACTGTGGTTTAGTAGTAGCCACAAGACATTCCCAACACATGCATGCTAAGAGATCACTCAAGAGCGTTGCTTAAAACCTAAACCCGCCTGTTAGTAAAATATCTCATGAGTCACTGAACAGATTTTAATAAAACTCTCAGCATCTGATCCCCTGCTGAACACTTTTGAACTCAATCCTATTTGAGATTGCTGTCACAACTAATCAAACTTTGCAAATACAAAAAAAAGCTCAACTTTTATTCATTTTGAAGATATTAAGATACATTTTGGTGTGTTTGTTGTTGAGAATCATCCCCAATACACGAGTGCTGACAGATTGTGCAAGAATTTTGCTTAAACCTTTGACCTGGGAGACAGTGGGAGATTTGTGTTCCTTTATAAAATGAAATGGTTTACTAGTTGCTGTTTATAGAGGGAAATAATAAATGGTGTCAAACATAACGTTCAATTGTTTTGAGTCTTTTTTTTTTATTATCAAAATTGGGTCTTGTTGGGGTGGTTTGCATAGTACAGTAATGGGCATATGATCAGATTTTTATTTTTTTTTACAAATAAAAAAGTAGTGTATTTAAGGTCTAACACATGCATTAAAACAGCTGCATTTAAGTGTTGGACAGTGTTTAATTTTTTTCTGTAAAATCTGTAAAAACAGAATTTTAGAAGTTATTTTTTTGCAAGGAAAGACAGGAACTAAAATTGATTTTCAAACAGAAATGTGTGAATCATAAAACGCTGAGGTGACTTTTTAATTTTTTTTTCCAAAAATCGTATATTATGCCGCAATCTGTGAGAGTTCATGCCTCCTCAGTCAGGTCCACTGAACTACAGGAAAGTGCAAAGAACTGATTTACAGTACTGTACGTCCAGTTCCGCCTTACAAGAACCTTCATCACTCGCAGAGAGGCAAAACTGAATCTGCTGGACGAAATCTGGAGCGTTTCACCTGTGAAATTATTATTTTCAAGGTTTGATGTTTTTAACTGGCAGAGCTCCTTTATGTTTGCAAGTTATGTGAGATCAGGCAAAAAAATCTGAGGAGAAACCAGCTGCTGCGCCTCTTCGCCACCTGAGTGAAGCTGAACGGTTCACAGCAGTGTTAGACACTGGAAGCCCAGGCATCATTTCTGCTTTTTGAACTGGCTCATCATCTTTTGAAATATGGAAATTAAAATATAATTTAAAACAACAAATCTGTTGTAATAAATAAACATTTTTACTGTATATGATCAAATATGTTTTGCAAGAAAACAGGTACCATATTTTTTGCTGTGTAAGTCACAGGTTTTTTTGCATTAATTAGCATGATTGCGACTTATACAGTGAAATCACGTATTTATGTTTGTTTCTCAGCCACTAGAGGGCCCTCAACTGATATGGCAAGCCAAGTGTCTCATTAATAATAAAAGTGGCTATTAATGAGACACTTAGCTTGCCATATAGGCCACCTTTGTCTTGCTCCGGAACTCCTGGAGTAAACGTCAAATCAGCTGCATTTTGCCGCAGCGCCCAGAAGAAATGCAGCTGATTTGACCGTCAAAGTGCATTTATTAAGGAAAAGTTCAACTGAGACACACCTTTACTATAAAGTCGAGCAAACAAATAATTGTTTTTAGGTGGTTAGCTTGTTAAATTTCGAAGAAATGCACAGCAAGTCGTCCCTCTGCGTGCTCCTGCTTTTGCGTATCAGCTTTTGAAATACAGCTGATTTGAGCGTCAAAGTGCATTTATTAAGGAAAAGTTAGACTGACACACCTTGGCTATAATTTCAACCAAACAATTGTTTTTAAGTGTTAATCTTGTTAAATTCTTGTTAAAGTCCTCTCGTGCACGCTCCTGCAGCCGCCATGTGGCAGCCATTCGACTTTTGGCAGAACACCGGCCCACATTTCCACAGTGTCAGTGGCAAAGCGACATATTTATGTTTTGTTTTTTTCCACTTAATTAGACATGTTTGGACTGATACGACTTATACGGCGGTGCGACGTGTACGGTAGATAAAAATATTTTGTGCTACAACAATAACGGTTAAATCACATCTGGACCAGTTTCTTTATGTGAGAAAAGTTTTGTCTCTCATCCGGAAGACTTCATCAGTCTGCGGCCTGCCAACCAGATCTGTCCCATGGTAGCCTTTGTTATGTTTCAAGCACAGCAATGAAGAAACATTTCTCGCTTAAAGAAATTGGGCAGCTGTGGCTGAGTGGTTAGAGCAGTCGTCCTCCAATGCAAGAGTTGGGGGTTCAAATTCACCAGCATTCACATGCCCAAGTGTCCCTGGGCAAGACACTGAACCCCTCACTGCCTCTGATGTGTGTCCCATCATTGTATGAATGTGATAAAGCACTGATTAGTCTCTTTAGAATGATTTGTTCAATTAGCTTTGTAGAGATCTAGTAGAGTTCTGTATGAATGGGTAAATGAGGACACAGATTGTGTTGTAAAGCACTTTGAGTGTCTTGATTAGATAGAAAGGCGATATATAAGTACAGTCCATTTAAAGAAACTGGTCCAGATGACACAATTTAACCTTTTTTGTTGTTATCTACCTGGATAATTGAGTTTACAAACCTTATTTTTATTATTTTATTTTGTGCTACACTTATTATATTTTGTATTATTTTTATTTTAGGCTCAAATTTAAACAAAAGTTGGATGTATGGCAGTAATGTTAAAAAAAACGTATTTAAAATGAGAAAAAATATAAAAAAGATCCTTGTATTTTATCAGCAGAGTATTGGGGAGACAGAGGCAAATAAAATAAAATAAAAACTCTCTTCATTCCAAAATTTACACTAAAACTTAATGTCAAAAGTCCACGCCCAGTAAGTCTAAAGAACTTGAGCTTTAAAAGGAAAGAGGAACAGGAACAAAGGATGAAAATCAAACAAAAAGTTCTGTTTGTACGTAGATATATCAGTTTTATTCGTGTTGGGATCTGGAGGAAAGGTTGTGTTTGTCTTTCATGGTCAATTATGGATGGAAGGAAAAAGGAAGAGTGAGGGAGAGGAAGAGAAAAAGATGAGGGGAGCTATGTTTGTGGTCGGTACCTTGCTTAAAAAAGGAAATACCAAGTGCACACACACACACACATGTGCGCGCTCGCCTGTGCACACATACACACAGGTGCAAAAACACAGACACGTCCAGAAGAATAAAGACCTGCTTTGTGCGAGCTGAAAGTTTAGTGGTAACGTGTGTGTAAGTGTGCATATGTGTGTGTCCTGAAGGTTGCTGAGGAAGCAGGGTGAGGATGCAGTCAGGAGGAGGAGGAGGAGGAGGAGGCAGGGTGGGACAGTGGTGAAGGGCTTCGAGTGTTCTTCATTCACCTAAAGCTCCATCATTATAATTAGGGAGAATAATTTCAGCAGCAGGGAGGAAAACCCTGATTTTCTTTCCCCTGGATTTCCTGAACCAGAGACTCAGTTAGTGCTGAAGAGCCAGGAACACCCACTGACCCTCCGTGGACACACAAGTACATGAAACGGATCCGCCGATGAGTTATTGATGATCAGCTTCAAATCAATAACAATAAAAAACATGGTCTCGATGCTATTTCTTTAGCAGATTTCCATTATCAGGCTATTTTCTAAGATTATAGACGTATACTAATTTGATCAAGCGTCTTGGTAGATATAAAAAGGTTTTGAAGTGTGTGAAGACTCGGGTGCTTGAAATCAGCAGAGACTTGTTCGTATTTTGAGTGGAACTGGAAAGACGGCGAAGGATTCGATCCAAGATTTTTTTTTTCTGGGAAACTGTTGAAATTCCACTTGACACAATGGGCCAGTGTGGGTGTTTGTGTGAGTCTGGAGTTTGACGCACAGGAGATAAATAAGATAACTACTGACGGTACGAGCTGACGTGTCAAACAAACACAAACTCTTTTTCATGAACTGCTAAAATAAAAAAAACAGACTAAACTAGACTCCCACAAATGTTGCAACAAAAGCTGACAACACTTCAGCATAGGAGTTGTCTTCGGGGTGTACAGGGGTCAATTCCAACTCGTTTTGTTTATTTAAAACTATGTTTCCTCTGGTTTTTGTAATAAATTAGCCTTATGCGTGAATTCTTAAGGCGTCTGAAAAGAATTAGTGAATTAATGGCTAATTAAAGCGCTGACAAGCCAACGTTTCAGAGCTTTTCACTGCTGGCACAAGCAAGTCTGGCCAAACAACAATCTGTAGGTTACATAACAGTCTGCTGAGAACATGCTGTTCTACACAATTTGCTGCACACTGGTTCACCAGTTCACTGGAAGGTGCTACAAAACAGGTTTACCAGTAAACATAAAGCTGCATGCATGCCACAGAAGTACACAAAAGCCCCCAAGCATGCTCATTCAAAAAGGAAACACACACCTGTTGCTGTTGCAGGTGCAATAAGTCGACCGGGCTAATCTCTCCATTGGTGTCTCCGTTGGACCCGCCCTCTCTACCTCCCCCTCCGTCCGATTGGCTGCTTAGGCTGCTGACTCCATTTTGGTTGGACGGCGTAGTTCGAATGGTCTCAGAAGCCGATTCCACCATCATCACTGGCACCTGGGAGGGAGGAGAGTGAACAAAAGTCACCTGAGCAGTCTGAGCACAACGCCTGCTTTTATCTGATTAAGCAAACACGACTAAAGCAAATACAGAGAAAGACGGAGTAGACGTGTACGCATGGGTGCACGAAAAGCAAAACGCTTTAGGCCACGAGGACACAATGAAACACCTAAAGCAGTAAGTTTTTTTGTACTTAGGAGGGCACACGTGGATTGGGATGAGACTGGCAGCAAATCTAAACTGACAAGGCTGTTAATACTCTGCTATACAGTTAAATAACACACATTTCTCCAATAATCAGATATGGCATGTGTGCTCTGTGTGAGAGCCAGGAGCAGGTTGGTCTTTGAGACAGATGTGTTTGATGCACCTTCAGAGGGCCTCCCTAATTAGAGCGTGTTCCTTCCACAAAAACCTGACAAAACGAGCCGTTCCTGGATGTGTTGTTGTTTTTTTTGTTTTTTTGCGAAACAACGCCTCGCAAACACACAGGAGCATTTGCCATCGTTAGGAGCCGAGGCGTGGGAGAGAGGAGACGACGTACGTGCGCACATGAGGCGGATAACACAAAACAAAACAAACCTTCACACAAGCACGCAGACTGTGAACCCCTAATGACGGCCTCAATCTCGTCTTTCTGCCTCATCCAGTTTTAGAAATTAATGCGCACAAGTGCATACTTTTAACAGGGGGGAAGTTCTGCTGCTTTCATTTCAGCAACCCGCAGCTGGTACACAAAACGCCATCGAGGCACTCAGCCTCCTTTCTGAGCGCGACTCGGTGTGTTTTTCAGAGGCGTACAAGCCATGCCTTCTGGGGAAACAATAAAAGCCAATTCATGAGAGAATCTAACTTTTTTCTTCCTCCTCTGAGGCAAGAACAGGTGAACCTGTGTGTGTGTGAATATTTTCTTTTCTCTGACTCTGCCAGCAGGTGAGAGTGTGAGAGATCGCTGGTGGCTTTGTTAATGGAATGCTGCCAGATGCTTGCAGATGGACAGGGACCTGTGTGTGTGTGTGCGTGCATGTGTGTGTGTTAGACACAAGCTTGCGCAGGCAGACAAGCTGCTAGATGGGCTTGTTAAACAGCCTGCTCTTTTAAAATATATATAATTTCTCACTGAATCTGTGCCCTCCAAAGCAGTTGGGTTGTATTTTTGGAGTTTTTAAGATACAAGCCAATTTTCTGCTGTTGTGCCAATAAATGATAAATGGACTGTACTTATATAGCGTCTTCCTATCTTATGAAGATACTCAAATCGCTTTACACTACAATCTGTGTCCTCAGTTACCCATTCATACATTACTCTACTGTATCTATGCAAAGACTAATCAGTAGGGATGCACAATATTATTGGCATGGTATCGGTATCGGCCGATATTAGCCTTAAAGTTCAATATCAGACATCGGTCATTCCATCCAATTAACTCACTGATATAAAAGGCGCTGTTTTTTTTTATGACAACCCAGTGACAAGGATGCCTACAGTGCCAGCACAACGTGATGACATCACACATGCCTATGGCGGAGAGGAAAACTCAAAATGTCGGCCGTGTGGAAGTTGTTTTTTTTCGTTGAGGATGTCAGATTCCAAAGATTTTTGGACTACGTTGAGCCTCACAACATCGTCCCCAGTCAGAGATATTTTTCCAGTGTAACCTTACGTCATTGAGAAGCTAATAGCCGATAGCACTTGGGTGAGTTTTACCACAGGCGTTTGGACGTCGTGTTAGCCCCGTTAGCATGATTAGTCTTACGGCACAATAGACAAAAACTTTGAACTTAAAAAGTCTGTCCTTCATGCACAAGAGTGCAGAGGATCCCACACTGCAGCTAGGAACCTGGAACAAGCCTCCACAAGTGAGACAGCATCGCAGATGACTAATGCTAATAAATAACATTTAATACTTTTCATTTAACATAAGTTAAAGCGCTATGCATATCATATGGCTGTTACTGAATATATGTCACCAGCTCTTACAGCTTTTACACGATTTTTGTAACAAATAAGCCTAAATAAGACAGTTATGTTCTGATGAAGGAAAGTATATAAAGTATCGGTTATCGGCCAAAAACCCAATATCGTGCATCCCTACTAATCAGTGCTTTATCATATTCATACACCTATAGGATACGCATCGGAGACAATAAGGGGTTCAGTGTCTTGCCCAGACACTTTAACATGCGACTGCTGGTGCATTCAAACCCCCAACTCTTGCATTCGAGGACGACTGCTCTAACCACTGAGCCACAGCCGCCTCAATACACTTCACCATCACATTTTTGAAATAGATATAGCATCAAAACAATTTTTAGTCATGTTTCAGTCATGTAAAATGAAATCTTTGCACTGCGTGGACACGAGTTTTAACTTACTTTTTACCTATTACCAAAGGCAAAAGTACAATTATGTTTTTGTTTGCTGCGTTGGCAAAATCCCTCATGAACCAGTGAAAAATAAATTAGCAAAATAATAGTTTTTATGTTCTTCTACAACTGAATATTTTTGGGAATGAGCCCAATTCAAGATGGCTGCCAGAGTTAATTAAACTTAGCCAACACAAAATATCTATAACTTGTTGAATTGCACAGATTCTGAATTGACGTTTGGTGTGGTAGTAGCTGAGCAATATCTTGAACACATCCTTTAGGAGCTAAAACATCTTGTGAGGTTTTGAAACATCTCATGAGACCAAAGCGACTAGAGCTTTGTCTTTCCTTGTCATTGAATGACTTTACCGTATTTTTCAGACTATAAGGCGCATTAAGCGAAACAAGTTTGTTTTGACAGATTTTTGAGCACCGTGTACCACATAAAATCGGTTCTAGGTCAATAAGCACAACGAGAATTAATATATAAGGCTCACTGTTAATTTTTGAGAAAATTAAAGGATTTTAAGTGCGCCTTATAGTCCGAAAAATACGGTAGCTTAAAACTCTTCCATGAAAGATGGCAGGTGGAATGATCTTTTCAAGGAATGCTAGGCTTTTAATGGGTGTGGTTTTTATTATTTATTTATTTATTTATTTATTGTTACGTAAGTGGACAAGCCAGTCTGGCTCCAACAAAACACTTTTGCTTTCTCTAAAGGTAAAAAAAAATGATGTTACATGCTCTAATATATATATTTAAAAAATATAAAAACATTATTAATAATAATAATAAAAACCTTAAAGTTTCATCTGAAGTCACACAGGTACAGGTCATTGAGCTTTAATTCAGTCGTCTTGAGTGTCTTTAACCAATTCCTGTTCTGAAGTCCAGCAGCTTCTGTTCGGACCGAAACCCCGCAAACATTGAAAAACGTATGTCTTGGGTTTTACGTAACAATAAAATAAATTACAGCAATTGTAAAATATTTTCTTGTCCATCTGGAGAAATTACACCAGTTCAAAACCTCAAAATCGTCCTGCTGCATTTATTTCCTCCTCACGGACTCTCCCCTTCTGTGATTTGAAATGTGAGAACGTTATTGTGACATTTAAAGCTCATCTATTCTCCTCCTCCTTCTTCACGTTCACCCCCCACATCCCATCTACTTCCTCCTTCATCCAGACCCCCAATAGGTCGAACTGCTCCCCGAGGTAATATTATGAAACGATGCACGGCGTTGAGCGATCAGCACATCTCGTCACACAGTCCACTGACTTTGCACTTCAGGAGAAACTCCTCACATCATCACACGTTTCACGGAGCGTGAATCACCGGCCCACACTAAACCGAGCCTGAGCTGTAATGTACTGTACACCCATCTGCTTCTCACTCTTCCTCATTGACCTTATTAGCAGTGAAGGCAAAGAGAGATAAAGGCAGTTCGGGCTCGCAGGTGGACAGGGACCTAATGGGAATGTGGGGTGTGTGCAAAGCCAATGCCCTCGCTTCCAACGCAGCCAGAGCCGTGGTATGCTCGTCTAAAGGGTGTGTGCTCTGTCATATCCTGTAATGGGTGTATATAAGCTGGTGTAATGGAGGTCGGGGAGAAGGCAGGGGCATAAATCTACCCAGAAGTCTCTGATTAGGGTTATGATACACACACAGCTTTAAGTGTTTCTGGCAGTGAGGAGCTACCCGTTCTGGGGCCTGCCTCAACCCGCCGTCACTCTTTCTGCGTGTCTTTTTCTCGCACTTCCAATCTCCCTACCCTCTCCCAGCTGAACCCCTGACCTGAGAGTGTGTGCGGAGAGACATTCCCACTACCCCGAGGGGGACTGAGCGAGGGAGGGGCACAGATCAGAGAGATAAAGAATGTGTTTGGAGGAGAGGGAAATAAAAGGCCTCCTTTGCCTTTTAATTGGCATAGTGAAGAGAAGGGAAATGGGACCCAACATGTTTTCTGATGACTATGGTATATGTGTGTGCGAGTGTGTGTGTGTGTGTGTGTGTGAGACTGACATCTACCTTTGTACTATAATAGATTAGCTGACTGCAAACGCTGTCTGCATGTGTTTATGTGTGTGTCGGCTGTGATTGATGAGTGGAGAAGAGAATTAGGATGAGCCCTGTTAAGACACGTTGCTCGTTCAGAAGTTCCCGAAAATTTTAGCACCCAAAAAAAAAAATCCGAACTGTTCCTTCCCATGCACTCCTCTCTGTGTGCGTTTTGGAGTTCAGACGAGCTGATCTACAAAGCTCGGCGAGTGGGCTTCACTGTGGGCTGACTCCCGGCTTTGTCCGAGGGATTGGCTCTGTCGGATTCCTCCTGGTCACTGGCTCGTCAAAAAAAAAAAAAAAAAAAAAGGCACACAAGCCAGACCCATTTTGTGTGTGAAAAAGGTGGTGGAGGAGGGAAGCCAGTTGTGTACAGCGTGTATTTATGTGTGCAACTGTGTTTACAGCAGCTTAGTGAGATAATAAGTCTTTATCGTGTTATGCCTCATGTGGGAATATTTCCAGCAGTCCCAGAACGCCTGTTCTGTTTCCTCCGCCTTGCATCAGCTCACAGGAACGCTGCTTATTAGGCAAAGAACTGAAGGAATAAGGCTGGGAGGGAGAGGGA